GACTTGACTAAGTTATCGAATCTTAATATGAAACTTTACCCAACCAGAGAAGTCAACTAGATTAGCTTTCATAAAAGCAGTTTATAAGTTCTACACATGTCTATATGGTAGTGAAAAACAATTTTCGAAGTTTCTCGAATCCAAAACTTAAACTGTGCAGTGCTCGACTTACATTGGCAGTATATTTTTTGTTAATTTTTCTTCGATAACCCATGGATGTGTTTTAACCCACGAATTAAACCAATTAATATCATATCGACTATCAAGTACACCAGGCATTCGTTGATCAAGATAAGCAAAAATTTTTTGTCGTTTTGTTACAGATTCTTGTGTAGCAGCCCAATGTATTGGTGTTAAATTAGCATAATCTTGTATTCGTAAACAATCATATATATGTTTATCTTCTTTTTGTTGTTTTTCTTCTTCATTATTTTCATTGTTTTTTATTGATAATAATAGATGTAAAATAGATATATTAGCTGATCGACAAGCAATATGAATAGATGTATGTCCAGCAGAAAGACGTCTTAAAAAAAAAACAAATGTTCACATCATTATCAACAAAGCGAACAGCAAAACTTGTACGACAAATAAAACTTACAATTTAGGATCAGCTTTATTGACTAAGAGATATTCAACAGTAGTAATTTGATTGTAATATGTAGCTGTCGAAAGTACTGATTCACCATATAAATTCAATGAATTAATATCAACACCTATGAATGATTTATATTGGATGACTATCGGAATGAAATCATGGGGTCAAACGTTTTTCGTGCTTGCCTTTTTTTTTCAACTACTCACTATGTGTTTGCAAATATTTTTGAATTTTAAATGTTTGACCTAATCGTGCAAACTGACATAATTCGTCGACATTGGCCATGATCTGAAAACACAAACCTTTTCCAATGGCGTGTTTCGTTTGTTTTCATTCAAATACATTTAAATTTCTATCTTTGCTTTTAAACAAAAATTAGTCATGTTTGGTTTTTTTTTAAATATACATATACTTCTAACACTAATCAGACACATAATGATTCAACTGTTTCAAGTTTAAATACAAACAAAACAAAATAAAATAAAAAAAAATGTTTATGTGTTTCTATACGGGTGTACTCGTCGAGGTTTAACTGATGACGATAATTGTTTAAATGAATGATTTCTTGTACTAGTTGAACTAGCATTTGATGAATTCGATGATAATGTTTGTATGGTTGTTGTTCTTGATGATGATGCTGAAGTTTTTTTTTCTTTACGTCGATTTGTTTGATCAACTATTAATGGCCAAAGAATATTTGATGCAAGTGTATTTACAGTACGATCATGTTCAACTCGATCTTTTATTGGTGTTGAATCTTTATTTGCTGAATGAAGTAATGTTAAATATAAATCACTAACAGCATCATTATTATTTGTTGTTGACATTATTTCACTTTCAACTGGTGTTGATTGTTCAATCAAAGAATTCCAAAAATGATCATCATCATTATATTCATTATTATATAATGTAGTATTTGATGATATTAGAATATCATTCAAATCATTTGTATTTTTACTTTCAATTGGAATAGATATATCATTATTGATTATAGAATTTGATGTTATTTGTGATGATGATGATGCTGATTGTGGTGGAGATAGAAATGTAACATTATGTGAAACTGTTGTTTGTAATTCAGTTGGTTCAGGAATTGTAATCGATCTTGAACGACTTAGCCAAAGTGTAAGAAATTTTCCTTGACTATTTATTGTTAATGATCGACTTGATATATTTTGTCCATCAACTTTAATAAATTCTGTATCTAAACAAAAATAAAAAACAAGAATAATTTGAAGAATAATTTAAAACGAAAAAAAACCAACCTTGACGTAAATATACATTGATTATTGAACGTGATAATGAATCAAATTCAATAACATAACATAACTCATATGTTATACCTTGTGCATTAGTTAATTGATCTGTTGCATTTATATTTAAACGATTTACTATTAATGCAAGACAAGGACTAAATCTACAATAATAACAAAAAGTATATTAAAAAAAAAACTTTATTTTATTTTTATTAATGTAACTTACTGTTTAAATGTTAATGTTTTTGTTTGATTTTGATCTCCACATCGAAAACATGCACAAGATATTTGACTAGATTCAATTAATAATGTTGTTCGTATTTCGCCGACATCATGAATAACATCAGTTATACTAAAAGAAAGCGAAAAAAGAAAAATAATCAAAAAGATTAAAATGAAATCTTTTATTTTCTTTTCTTACCTATTAGATATTATGCAATCACATTCTTGACATTGGCAATATTCGTTAAGTTCACTAGTGAATAATTCTTTAAGAAATGAATCGAGACGAAAAAGACGACGAACATTTTGTATGATGTTCGTATGTAAGGAATTTTGTCTACAACAATTAAATAAATATATTTGAAACTGTTTTATGAGAAATAAATGTATAGAATACTACCAATTAACTGGCGGTACAGAATCAACGGCCCTTTACCTGAAAGCCGGTTTCCGTACACGCAAGATGACGACATATGAGCGTCATCAGATAGAGCTCGAAGTCTGATTCTATTCAAACTTATGGCCACTATCCGACGTCAAGCTACACATATCATCATCTTTTGGATGATACTCTTCTTACCTATAATGATAAAAATAAATTATTTATTATAAAAAGAAAGTTTTGTTGTTGTTTTTTTAATCACCCGATATTCATACCGAAAAACTTGGATTTAGAGTTTTCTTTTTGATTACAAGTGAGTGAAATGAAACATAAGTTTTGTTTTACTCACTTTAATATGTTTAGTAAAATATTGGAGTATTCATCCAAAAGTTGTGATTGATTTGTTGTTGTAAGAGAAGAAGAAAATAATGTTTTATCAAGGTTATGAAATAATGAAGATGAGATATTATTTGTTTGTGGTGATGATGATAATGATATTTCAACATAACGATGTAAGAAATCAGTTAAACAAGTAGAAAGTGTATAATAAGTCATTGAAAGCTGTCGAGCAGCGATCATTGATGACCATATTGTTTCGCTTGATACCGACGTCATTTGTAGAATGATGCTCAAGGTTGGAAATAAAATGAAACTATATACGTCTGTGTTGTTTGCTTGAGTCATGAAATTCTCCAACGTAAAGGTTTCAATTAAGTAGAAATGTCGAAAAAAATAAAATATTTATTTCTATGAAAATGTCGATTTTCTTCTATGTAAAATTTTTTTGAATACTATTCTTCAAATATTTCTATGATAAAAAAAAATATCGAATTCATTATTGATCGTTATGATGCGACCTCTATCAACGTACTTAAGCAAAAAAAATCAAAGCTGAGCTAATACGAACTTTCTCGAGTACGAATAATACTAATCCATCACAGATATTCAACCCTGTTACATCATAATTTGCAACAATAAATGAGTAAAGTTTCTAAAAAATGAATGAGGATGAAAGAAATCAACTGTTTGTTTCATCTTGGAAGGAAAGAAATAGGTATCTGGTACCACTTTAATACAAAATATTTTTTCTGTGTTGAAATCAATCCATGAGCGATATCGGACAATATTGCAACTACAAGTTTTTCGAGTTGCACCCATACTCTTCTACAACATCAATAAAAACCTAGCTATCTCACTAGAAGATACAGGTATAACATGATAATTTGATCTAGAGACGCCACAAAATAAACTGTCGTAATGATATTAGAAGTCACTACTGAATTGATTCCGAGACATCAAGCTGTAATATTTTCGGGATGAACGAAGTCTTATCCGCTTTCATCTTGAAGTGCTTGATACTCGAACACGTTTTGCCAGCGAAATCAAAAGGTTTTCGTGATCTCTTAGAAAAAAAAACTTTATACCCTTTCGATATATCGTAACACCTCTATCAATTTTGACTACTTCGGATCAGCCCTTATTAAAAGAATAGAAGTAAATGTAACCAAATACGTGAGATGTAAATTGAAAGGTGATGTGTCTTGATCGTTGGTTACATAAATAAGACAAGACTAAGAAGAAGAGCTTAGCGTTCACTATTGTTCTTTCTTTATGTGAAAGATTACGACCTCAGTATCTAAACACGTTTTGAACAGTAATTAGTAAATGATCGTAAGCTTATGTTCTATAGTAACAATCAATAAAAGTATATGCAACAATGTATGCATAAAAAAAAATATATTCGATCATTTTTTAGATGTATGAGACTAGGACAAGGCCGGATATTTTTAAAATAGTTGACGAAGGTTGAATAAAAAATAAAAAAACGTGAGTTTATGTTGATAGATAAGATTCATCAGCTATCAATTAGATATTTATCACATATGTCTTCTTTGTACTCTAGATGCAGGCATATATCATTCGATAAGAATGATTGTGACTGAGATACGTTTATTAATTTTTGTCTTTATTATTGTCCTATTAATAATACCAACAATTATTGTCGACGCTGCTGCTGGTCGATGTTATTTATGTTCAGAAAATATACTTGCTGAATGTGTTGGTGGTGTTCAATCTGATTTACCTCTTCATACAGCTATTCTTCAATTTTATACGGAACCATGTAATGGTCAATGTGTTTTATTTCGAAGTGAAGATAAATTCACAAGACGTGGATGTTCATGGACATATGGTCATATGACACCGATGTCAACTGGATGGCATGAATTAACTCCCGGTATACAAGCGTATTTTTGTGATAGTTTTCTATGTAATAATGGTACTTATGAACAACCAGAAGCATCAATGATACGTAAAGGAATAATAAAGAATGAATTGAAACGACCTCCTAAACAAACACTTACTCCTCAACAATTATTCATCCTAGCAGGAAATACTCCTATAGTGATGCATACTGGTGAGTTTTATACATTAGTTCGTATAGGTTTTTGAGTGATTAGAGTCTTATTATCAATATTAAGCAATGGATTAGTACATGTAGATTGTTCTTATTGTTCTATATTTAATCACCTACATATAACAAATGAATTTAGATCAACCATTAATTCCTATGAGTACTGTACCACGTCAATTACGTCAATGCTATTCGTGTACAGCTCGTTCAACTGGTTGTGGTGAATATCTGGATCCACATTATGTATCAAAATATATTCGTCCATGTCCATCAAGTTGTGTGGTCTTTCGAAATCCATATGATCATAATTGTATGTATATCATCGAAATATATATTTTCTTTTTGTTTAAGTCAGTTGTTTTTCTTTACACAATAGTAATTACACGAGATTGTTCAACAACATGGCCACAAATTCATGCTAAAAGTGGTCTTCATAAATTACTTGGTTCAGATGCATTTTTCTGTCAAGAATCTCTGTATGATAAATAATTTCCTTTGATAAGTAATTCGTTTTTTGTTACTTTTTTATTTTATTTAAGATGTAACGGCATTAGTTTTGATTTTATCATGGGTTTGTACTAATTCTTGGTTTTTTTTTCTAAGAATACTTTCAATATCGATCATTATATCATATTTAGGTATTTTTCATAATCAATTACCAGCTGTTATTAAATTTCCTCCAATGGAAACCATCGAAAATTCTTCAACAATAATTAAAAGTTCTACGACTACGGCTGTTACTCTTCCAATTAGTACAACTGTTGATATTGATGATGATAATAGTGCCGTATGGGAAGATCCTAATTCAGATTTTTCCGTTTTCAAAACTACAACAACGACAATTTCAATTACTAGTACTTCTTCAACATTATTAACGGAATTTTCAGAAGTCACAGATATTGCATATGAATCATCAAGTATTCCAATTCCATCTATGGAACATTTTGATTTTATTGAAGCATTTGGTGGTGGTAGTAGTACAATAGCTGGTGGTTTAGCTGTTGCTCAACAAGATACACAACTTAATTGGTGGGATTTCAATGATGCTTCAATTCCACCATTGATTGGATCTAACAATTCTCCTTTAATAACAAAAACAACAACAATAACAATGAGTACTTCCACATTAATTTCGTCAACAAGTGACTTAACAAATGTAGATCAAGATGAATGGTCAATATTTGATACAACTACAATACCACCAATAACACGTGTTGAACATTTATCAGAAACGAATTCTGAATTAGATTTCGATATGAATGATTATTTTCTTAATCCTATGTTATCAACAACACTAACTATGAATGTTCTAAATCATAATAACGATGATAATGATACTTCATCATTTGTACCATATTATTTTACTGATTATAAACCAAAAGAACAATTATTTGATTTAATAAAACCAATACCAACATTAGCTATGCCACCATTTTCTTGGATGTTAAATTTAGCAAATCAAAATAACGGTCGATTACAAAATCAAAAACATATAATCAGTAAAACTTTATCAACAACGTCATCAACAATTGCAACCATGAAAAATAACAAAAACAAGAAAATGGAACCAAAAACCTTGATAAATAATAATAAAACTTACGATTATTTATATGAGTATTGCAATAAAAAACAATGTCAAAATGGAGGACATTTAGATTCTAATTGTTTATGTGTCTGTCTACCTGCATTTAGTGGAAATAATTGTGAAATAGGTAAAATTAGTTTAGTTTTAAAAAATATTGTATCTCTTTGTATTCTAGTACATTGTGACAAAGAACCAGCACATATTTGTGATTACGCACTACATTATGAATGTAAAAGTGATTATGTTCGTTATCTATGTCCTAGATTTTGTCAGATGAATATCTGTTCTTCAAATAAATCATCGTGAGTTATGATATTTATTTAAAATGTAAAAATAAACTATAAAAAGAAACATTCCTTTCTCAAAAAATTCATTCGATCCACATTTTCTTCCTAATCATATCTTTATAAAATGTATTCATAGAAAAATGACGTTAAGTGTTTATTAAACAATTGTCATACGTCCTTACTCTATGTGGGTAAGTTTATGTCTGTATTTGTATGTATTCTATCATATCCTCGACCTACTCTCGCCTTTTTTTCTCCCATTCACGAGTGCGCACTGTCATTATTATCAGTATCATGATCATATGATGAAAAAAAAATATATATATAAAGAAAAAACGAATGTAAAATGTATAAAATTAAAAAGTTGCGTCACTTTTTTTGTCCTCTTCTACTTCATATTAAGCTTTTGCTTATATTCCTTCTGTTAGAAACATAACAAAAAAAAACGAACGAGAGAAAGTTTAAAGCAAGACTGACTACAATCATGAAACTGAAATCCTATTGCACCATTTTCTCGTATGTTCTTTCTGTTCGTTAATTTTTTTTTTCTTCGTTCTTATTGCTCTTTAAAAGCAGAAAAAAGCGAAGAGGAAAAAAAGAAAAGCAATATGACAAAACGGCATGCCTTTAGTCAAGTATCGAACAACCGAACACCTTGTAGGTTCTGTATTCTTTCGTTCTAGACACCGTATCAATAAACACAAATAAAGAACAATGGTCAGCCAACCATCTTCACCACCACCCCGTGATTTCCTTTGTCCAATAACCCGAGAAATTATGCAAAATCCTGTTTTACTTATTGAAGATGTAAGTTTTATTTTCGTAAATAGAATAACTAGAAAATATTGTTGATTTAAACTAAATATAGGGTCATTCATATGAATTATATGCTTTACAACGTTGGTTACGCGATCATAATTCATCTCCAATGACAAATAAACCATTGCGTGATCGTCGTTTTGTACATAATTTTAATTTAAAAAATGCTATTGAAGAATATTGTGCTCAACAAGAGACACTTTCATTAGCAAATAGATTTCTTTCATTTAATATTCGTTCTGGTCGTACACCATCCGAATGGAATGATAAACCGACATTAAAAATTCGTCTTAGTCTTCTTGGTGGTTCTAATGTTGGTAAAACAACGCTTGCTCGTTGTTTACAATATGGTGCCCAATCATCCTTTGTACATTTAAATACTTCAGCAACTGTAGGCCCTGATCTTGTTTTTTTTTATTTGGATCAATTATATGAAAATAAATATGTTATTATCATTCAACTTGCTGATATACCTGGAATGGAACGATATGAATCATGCTGTGATAATCATTTTCGTAATTGTCATGGTGCACTTTTACTATCGGATTCAACTGATATTGATTCACTTGAACGTACAGAACTTTATTGGTATAAACAATTACAAACAAAAGGAAAAGATGATGTTGAAGCTGTACTTGTTTGTAATAAAATTGATTTATTTGAAACAAATTGTGATGTACATTATCGACGAATTTTTTTTCAACGTGCAGAACATTTTGCATCATCACATAATATGCCAATTTATAATATATCAGCATTACGTGGTGATAATATTCAAGCAATGTTTAAACAATTAATCTTACGTATTCTACAAAATGAATCATTGCTACGACAAATTAAAGAAACTAGTATTGTGTATGATCAAACATCAAACCGTAAAGAATCGATACGACGTACATCGTCCATTCAAGTTTCAATTCAACCATCATCATCATCATCATCCTCATCATCGTCGTCATCTAGGCAAAATGATAATGATAGGAATTCATCTGGGGGGTGCTGTAAATTTGCTTGATTGGTTTCTTTTTCTTTTTATCGTTTTTTTTTTGATTTTTGTTTATAGATAATATGGGGTAAAAATCATTTCTAAAATTGTATATAGAATAAAAATTATTTCAATTTTTTACACAATAGGATGTATTGACCAAAAACAAAAATATTTACTTATATCTACAGATAATAAAAGATAAAGATATTATAATAGTTGAAAACTGATAATAACAATACTTCTAGATAATATAATAGTGTTTACATTGAAAAAAAAACAAACAACAACGTTTATTAGGTGTTCATTATCTTTATTGATTTAATTACTTAGATTATTCTATGCAAATATAAATATTTATTGAAAAATTGTAATGCATGTACGAATTTCCTTAAATGTAATACTGATTAAAATGTCATTGAATAAACCCCAGTATATTCTGTTGTGAATTGTCTCGGTGAACTTTTGCGATTGTCATTGAGCCTGTCGTGCATTTTCTATCAGTTGATAAGACTTCAAACTGACTTGTTCAAGTGCTATTAGATAAAGTTTAAAACACTGCAATATATCAAGGGTCATCGATTGAATTCAATCAGACTGGCCATTAAGAGTGAATAGATATGCGAGCTGAATGTGAAGTGCATTTTTTTCCTTATGATGAATGTACCTTACGTTTGATATGTAGTGATGAATTCCACCAGTGATAATTCAATAGGAGAGAATTCGACTAAAGGTAGCGTATAGACTTGATTTTAAAGTAAATGTTTAGCTACGGTTTGTAACTGAGGTGAGTTTAATAGTATGAAATATCCTTCGACAATGACTATTCTTCGCTTTTAGTCTCCCATGTCATTCAATGACAATAATCCTTTGAATATTCATTAATGCAAATAAATTTCAATAGATTCGTTTGATATACTATTAATACCTTGTGATCGACCTTGTCAAGGCCATCAAACTTATTTGTATGATGATGATAAGTTACGTTATCGTGCTTGAAACTCACAACCAGTACTGGCTATATCAAAAAAATATATTCTGGTTTTGAATGCTTGTATAGAAACAAGTGCTAATCCTCTTTATTAAAACTAAGTGGTATACTTATTGGTTCAACAATATAGTTGAACTCTACGACAGCTGAATCTTGAATAAATCACACATTGAAACTCATCCAGTTAGCGACATATGTTCGAACTTTGGCATATGACTCATCAGATATTATCTACAATGGCACAGATTAAACGATAATATAAGTCATGGGTCCTCTTTACTAATCAGAATACGTTAGATTTACTATTCTTACGAGCTGCATAATAATTATACTCTTATGGAATGATTCTTATAGTGCTAAAGACATTCGAGTAACAGCAATGAGTGAGTGAGACAGTTATATTTTTAAATTGAAGATTCCGAAATTCATTTGTTAATTTTGTTGTTGAGTCTTTTTCATGTTCATTGAATTGGATAGAATCGTCGTCTAGTGACCATGATGCGAATATGTGTTATATTTGATAGGTGACATGATGTCTTAAGCTAAAACAAACGATAAATAGTGTTACGAATAGCATATTCACTGCTGATATTATCATGCACTGGTGCTAATATAGTTGGAACAGATCCTGCCACTTGTGCAGTACCTTGTCTTACACACATGAAATGATCAAATGTGTTCTGTCGCAGGTCAGTTCCATTGATGGTATCATGATACTGAGCGGTAGCGACTGCATTCCAAAGTAGCCGCATACTACCCTTATTACTTCGTATTCAAACCTTGTTTTGACGCATAGCTTGTAGAAAAAGCTAAGAATACGGCGTTTTATTTTGAACTAGTCTAGATATATAAAAGTCTATCCGTCTGCATTTTAAATGGATATTGAACACAACATTTTAATGTGTTCAATACACCATTAACAAGTTCATTGAATTTTCAGCTTGATATTCGATTTCATTGTCACATGCGAACACAATATTATCTCTAAGATGTAATGCTAGTAAGTTTAGAATTGTTCGTACGTCAGCCTCAACCTGTTCAGGCACGTTGTGACTTTTCAATGTTGCACCATCATGAATTAAATCGAAATGATCGCCTCAGCAATTATTATGTGAAAAGATTTGTGAAAAAAAGAGCATAATTACCACAACCACACATTCGAGGAAAGACTTTTGTCGAGACGCTGAATGACGGTGACAATCACTATAGAAATTCGAGCGCTATGTTTTTCCGACGGTTACAATTATCAATGGCATCGATTCTAGCAAAAACAAATTCATAAAAAGCTGGTACTATAGCAGAATAGATCTATTTGCCAGCTCGTTTAATGAATGTTTTCGAATTTAACAAGAAGAAATTGATGTCCTAATATTGTCTTATCAATTATATCAATAATGTATATTGTTACTTCATTATGCATATTACAACCACACTAAAAAAATTTCAAGTTGATTAGCGGACATTATCATGTGAATGGCAGAGAAGTTGAACATTAAGTTATCCACAGTATTTTACTGCTGTCACTGCTATGTCAAGTAAGAATTATAATGTCATATCATTTCGTCGTATATTATTATGCATGTATTGTGATAGGGGAAAAAATACGGAGACAAGTACAAATAGATTGAGAATGAAGTGTACTTCTATCAAACAACATACTTGAATTGCCAAAATTTTCATCTCTCATCAAAGATCTGTCACTGTTATCGCTGAAACACAATGTTCATGTCTATGAATATGAAATTTTAACTTAGTGATCTGAATGAGAGTAATAAGAATAAAAAGAGAAAAAAATCATCACTAAATCAATTATTTTTTCAATTATTGTATCAGCTCTTATTGTTAAATTTTCATTATCCATCATTAGACGAATTTTCTTATTGTTTAGCATATCTAAGTGGTATACGATTACAGAAAGCTTTCACTTTTTGATTTTCAGTTGATCATTGTTGGCAATATTTAAGTGTACACTAATTGCTTCATACTATTTCATTTATGCATTCAAGTCTATGTTTGAACATCGTATTACACTAATTATTTTATATGTTCTGCTGATTATTATTACGTACACCTACACATACGAAATGTACGTAAGACATAAAATATCGAGAACCAAGTTAACAAACTATTGAAAAAGTGATATAGAATGTTTGTTGACTTGTTATGCAAGTGTCGTAGTTTATCAATGCCTATAGTTATTTATGAGTTGAATTTGCGAGCACCA